TGTACATTTAAAATAAAGTATCATTACCCTGTGCTAAATGTAAAAACACTGTTTACTGTTTTAAAGAAAAATTGCACATTATATTTAACTGGGATTGCTCCCTTCCTTCCCAGTTTCTTTTAAAAATAAATAAGGCTTACACTGACTGACTTCTAGATTGTGGGAGCTCCGCTTTGCCGTAAATAAATGGATCCAGTGTAGAAATATACTTTTTTAAAGCATGAAAAAGAGGACAAAAGAACTGCATTATAAAGTACCTGGTAGAGGACATTATTCAAAGGATTATGCACAGCTCAGTAAAGATGAGGTTATTCAGCTTTGTTGCTATTATTTTCTTTTGCATAAATGTATGCTCTCATTTCATTATGTGCCTTGCTCCCTGATTGTGCAAAGCTATATATAGAGATATATATATATGAGATAATATTCAGTACTACTGACGATGTTTGTGTTCTACCGCTGGATTAAGTTATTTTCCAAGTTCTTCTTGCCAGTTACTGTCAGTAAACTATTGTAATGGCTTAGGACAGTGCTCATACAGTCAGTGTAAATTTGTTTTCCAATCACATGTTTGCGTTATGTCAGCTTACCCAATCCTTAATAAAAAACAAAACAAAAACATAGATTATGTTTAAACATGAGGATTTTACTTGAGTGTTTGTGGATCGACATCATTAAGAACCTGGTTTTGCTTTTTATATTAAACCTGTTGCTGTCAATTCCAGCTCATTCCTGAAAAAGAGACTGTGCAGTAAGAACAAATTAAGTGTGAAGGTGAATAAACTATAATTTGATGTGTTCAGTGTTAACCTGCCAAGTGTAGTTTATAACAGACCAAGGAGCTTTGACAGTTAAATACATTATCAATTAGGAGGTGCTAATAGCTTTTTTTTTTTCTTTAAACAAAGTACAATTGTAACTTACTTATGAGAAAGGACTGCTTTTTGTTTCAAAGCTTGGAGACACAATTATGTAAGTTGGGCTGCCACGTCAAGGTATGCAGAAATGTATATTCTAACATGTTTACAAATCACTTTATCATTTTGCCAAGGAGGATAAAAACATTGGAAGCCCTGCCCATTCATTCACCATTTTGGTTTCACAGGAATGAACACAGGATTCCAAGACCATGGAACAGATGGTCACTCCCCTCCCCCGCAAATCCATAAAGCATTTCAGTCAAATGTGTAATTCCAGAGTAACCCAGAGGGGATCAATTAACTAACTAACTAATAAATAGGACAATTAAAGATCAGACACTGAACATCTGTGAGATGACTGCTATGATGCCTCAAAGTCCTATTCATAAATAAGAGCCCTGGTTTTTGAAAATGCCCTAATAAATAAATAAATGTGTTAGCTGGGTATTCCTCAGTTTTCCACTCCACATTAGCTGATGACATCCAAAAAAAAGCAATAAGATGGACTGGGAAGGCAGGAAACCGCTGCAGCACTATTCTTGGGTGTATTAACAGAGTTAGATGTATTAGAGAAAAGAGATTAGAAAACCCCAGGTTCACTTAGCAAAAAATGGTTCATAAGTATTTAGGGCAGCTGTCTTAAGAGAAAAAATAATCAGAGATGAAACTTGTTTAAAGCTCTACATTTTAAATAGTTGAAGTCTGAGAATACAGTAATAAAAAGCAGCTTCCAGGTTTGAAGCAACAGGAAAGTCAAAGATGCTCCCCAACACATTTAGGTGCCTACCACCTCTGAAACAAAACAAGTCTCTTACGTAAATACATTCACGAGACACTCAGATACACTTTGTGGGATTTTATTTAGGTCAAGTTCTTAGTACACAGCAACAATTAATTCCAAATACAATTAAAAAAATTAAAAAGTGAACATTCCCCCCACTCATCTGGAGGTGGCTTAATGGCACACAAGAAACATAAAGAAACATGACTGGCAACAGGCTGTTCCCTCACGTTTTCCTGCATGTTTTTTACTCCACTCGTAACACCAACCCTCCCTCTGGGAGCTAAAAGTACAACCGGCCAGATCACAAATTGTTTACATTCCTTTTTGTAAACCATTTTGTTTAAGAAAAAGGTGCATGGACACAAAATGTATGATAAAAGCTGCTTTTCCATAGAATTATGAAATTGCAAAAGACATTTCCATTTTAATGTGAAAATAAGCTTTCTGTTTTACAAAAAAACTCAGGATATTTAGCAAGGATCATTTATACACAGCTAGGCCCTGTCATTTGTCAATTTTTTTTTTTTTTTTTTTAAGAATTATAAGATTCTCAATTAGAAAAAGAAACGAAGATCAGCATAAAGTAAACTTAAATGAGCACAGTGCCTCTGTGTAATAACTTTTATAAGGCTCTCTCAAATTTGGCTGTTTGCTGTGCTGTGCTCCTCCCAAACGCTGAAATGAGATAACATGTTTTTGCTACGTACACCTTCTGGAGAAGACCATTTGCAGAGCATAGTTTTACAAGGGTGATGCACTTAGTACACTCCTTTAAATGACACAGTCAGAATACTCTGATGGTATGTATTGAAACAGCGTATCTTTTTAAGTATCTTCCTGAAGACATCAAGTAGAACACCTAATTTTTAAAGAAAAATTAAGACAGTTGTGCAGTGGCAGGAGCACTAGGCATCAAGTCAGGAAGTCTACCATTAACTAGCTGTTCATCTGAAACAAAACATCAACCCTCATCAACACAATGAAACTGAACTAAAATCTCTTCTAGTTGTAAAAGTCTAAATAAAACTAAATAAATCATGTGGGGGAAATTATCACCTTAACACCAAACGAGTTTCTGGCCAAAGAACTATGGAAGTGATTAAAATCCCCACTCTTCATCAAAGACTTTGTAGGCAGTCACCTGCCAATTCCACCATCAAAACCTTTTCAAAGGTAAAGGTGGCCTTCAGGATATATCATGCTCTCTCCACAAGAAAAGGTAATAAAAGATAAAAGGAGAACATTCCCTAATGCAGAAAGGTCGCCTGCTAAAAGAAAATGAAAACAAAAAGATAAATGCAAACTAGTTACCACAGTTTTGATGCCTCCCAAACAGAAAAATCTTATCCTCCCTTAATCTGCAAAAGACTGCTAAGGAGCACAGCTACATTACAGATATCACTGTAAAGGTGTGTCAAACATTCCCTCTAGCTGGGTAATAAATGGCAGCAGTAGGAGGAAAGGAAGAGGGGATGAAAATGTCTCACTCGGTGCCTTTCAGAACACAGCCCTTGCCAACCCTAATTCTAAAATGGGAACAGCAGGTGCCTCTGAGACAGAAATCAAGTAGCCAAAAGATGGAAAATACTGAACAAGACATCATAAAAGATTCATATTCCAAACAGCAGGCTGAATCTCTCAGGTCTAGATTTTGACACATTGGAACTATTTTTGTTTCCAATTAATTGCCTTGGCCATAAAGGTCAGAGACAACAAGAAACTGTATTTTCATTCATATCCTCATGGAATTTCAAATAATACCCTCCCAAAACAAAACAAAAGACAACTATTCAGCCTCTTTTTTTTTTTTTAAAAGGGGAAAGGAGTGGACACAAGTCAAAAAGAAGCACTTCAGGGGGGAAAAATCCTCTCCCATTAGATTCCCTCTTTCCTGATAAAATGGCTGCTTACTGGTCAGCAGATTTTAGACTCGGATCATCTTTGCTACAACATTAATAACACGTAGCATGTAAGATTTCTGCATTCATTTGGAATTCCTAATACCATCTTTTAGTTTATAAAAAGATAAATGGGGGAAACTTACAATAAAACAGGAAATACTACCCTTACAGACTATTAATAGCATGCAATCTATTAAAATATTACATACATTAAAAGTCTCCAATTACCATAGGCCTGGCCCATCATCATTACATAGCATCCTTCCAAGACAACCTATAAAATTCAAAACTGTACAAAAATAAAAAATATGCAGAAAGTCCAATAGGTACTGTTTTTAAAACAAAAATTGCACACACACATTAGTACTAAATAATAGAGAAAAAAATCACTTGATCCATGGATTCCCCACCGCAGGTCTGCAGTATAAAGGACTTCACCAGTGTCTTCTGCACGCCCCATTCCAGCAGGGGTCCACCAGGCCAAGCTCCATTTCTGCTGACCACCACCAACTCTGCTTCTTGCACAATTGTCTTCTCTACTTCTGTAGGTGTGAGCTGGGGGAACTATTTCATGGATTTCAAAACACCCTCTGCCTTATTAATCACTATGCTTTCTCAGCAAAAGGTTATGTAATAAATAGTGGGAACATCTAATTTCAAAAATCTTTTTCTAGTTATACACCCAGTACTAAGAAGAGGTTAACCTTTACAGGTATAGATCCATAAAGGACCTACAGGCTCAGAGAACACTCAGGGCCGTAACTTTTAAGGAAATCAGGAAATAGGGATGTTGAGATGATAACAAAAGTGGAATGTGTACTGAAGGCAAGTTAATGAAAGCTAAACTCAAAGTGTTGGAAAAAGCTAAAAGCAAAACAGCTATGCTAAGTTGCCATGTGTGAAAGAAAAAAAAAAAGTTGAAAAAAGAACTCTACAGCTGGGTGTCAGTTAAATGTGTGATGAAGTTTTGTGCTCAGATAACAGATTCACAAGCAGTATATTAACTTCAGACTCCACCATCTGGATTTCCTCACAGACTACTACACCGTCCATTTTTCAGTCAAGTTCCTCTATCATCTGCACCATCCATTGTGTTCAAGGCCTACATTTGAAATACATAGTTATTGCCTTTCCCCAGCAGAGGGACGTTACCTGGCAAATCTCTATTCTGGCCAAGTCACTGAGACTGGGAAGAACCCAAACTGGCAGCTTTGGCTTGGCTGGGGGTTGGTCCATCATCACAGTATTCATCTACTGAGCGTCAAGCCTTCCTGGATTTTTTCCATTATATACTGATTACTGAAGTGGTGACTAAAATCATCTGCCCTACAAACTCCACTGAATCTGAAGCTAATTGTTGTGCAGATGGAAAAAAAAAAAAAAAAAAATTGTTTCTCTCAAAGTTATATTAATTTTTATCTATGTGATTGGCAAGTTTTGCCCTATTAATCTTAAAACTCACTATTAGTCTGAGCTATAAGGTTCAAATTCTTACCAGGCACAGTTACTTCAGAGTCCAATCACAGTAAATCAGGAGCGTATTTACCTTTTCTAGAGCTAAGGGAATGAACAACTCAGCAGCAGGTCACATTGGCCATTAATGACATTCAGAGAGCACAGGAGCAAGCCTTTCATTGCCTGTGACCGTCGAGACACTTGAAATAACTATTTTCCAAAGAAGATTTTTTTTCTCTAAATAGTGAATGAAGTAAAGAAATAGTTGGTCTGATCTCTAAGACCTTACCTCTCAAAACAGCACCTAAGGCAAGGGTTCAGGATGCCTTTAAGTAGAACATTTCTATGGTTCAAACTCTTCAGATCCTTAGGCGGCCACAAGCCTACCTAGCATGTGAAGCAGCCTACCATGCTGGAAACATCTGGGTACACTGGCCATTAGTGGCAATGTAGTCTCATGCAGCTGCACATTAAATCAAACTGGCACTTGTTAACCACCCTTAGGATGTTTGGGGACTTTCACATTTCAAAATTTCATCTTCATAATCCAGGGCTTTGGAATGGTTCAGTAATTGCCAACATAAAGGAGGGCAGCGTAGACATTACATAGCAACCAAATCTGTTATCCGTTCCATTTTGACGTGAGAAGGAAACAAACAGCAGTGTCCTGCTCAAAGACGGCAGCTCAGCAGGCTGCTCTGAGTATGTATGACTCTCCACAATCCTGCCAACAGTTCAATCTCCCGCATCAGGCTCCTGAGACTTTCGGGATCCACGTGGAAACTGGATTATTGGCAGGAAATGTGGAGTGCAACACATTCAAAGTGGCACAGTCGGCTGTCATCTTTGAGCAGGGTACCGCTGTTGTTTCCTACTTGGGTCAAAATCCAACAGGCAACAGATTTGGTTGCTATGCAACATGTACGCTGCCCTTGTTTACCTCGGCAACTACTAAACTTTTCCGAACCGGCTTGAAGTCCTGTCATAATCTAAAAACTAAGAAACACAGGGATGCAAGTCAGTTCAGCATCAACTCGTTTGGTTCACTCAAGTCCTGAAGGAATGTAGAATTTACAGTGTTAAAGAAGAAATAAGCTATCTGAAACAATTATAAAAATGGTTAAGTATGATATTTAAATATCGGTTCCCTCCTCCTCATACAAGTTGAAGAAAGTGTGGGGCTAAGGGACCCATATGGCCACGAGGTTAACCCCTTAGCACAGGCATTGAAGAACATCTAATGCCACAAGCTCTGCACGAGGAGAAACTCCAAGAATGTACAGTATTCCTGAGAAAGATCCCAGATTTTTTTCTGAATCAGTCTTATTCTGATTTGTTTCAGCTACATAGTTATTTGTTACAGCTTTGACATATTCAGAAACAGTCACTTTATTTCAATCCAGACAGCTCAGCATAGTACAAATGATGGCAGAAAGATCCATTTGTTCAGACTCAGCTTGCTTTTTTGTTTTTGTTTTAATACTGGGGGATAAACCAAAAAAACATAAGTAGTTTTTTATCATTTTCATCCTTCATTCATTTCACTGGAGGGGAACCCCTGGGGCCTTTGGACAATCTGGGAAGACCTGACTATTCCTGTGAGGGAAGCACAGCCCTGCTAAGCTTTACTCAGAGTAATGCATGATCGACTCAACGTAATTCCCAGGAAAGAGCCCAGTCACTCCATTCATAACTCCCTCATACCAACCATCGTCATTCTTCTTGATGACATAAATAATGGCTCCTTCCTGAAAGGACAGCTCATCCTCTTTGTCTTTTGTATAATCATAAATGGCCACAACTAGAGGGGAAAAAACAAAATAGGATGTTAAAGGGAAGAATAATGTTCCTAGAAAGAGCCAATACGTAAGTGAATATTCACCCTTTGCCTGCTTCTGCAGCACTCAAACACAGTGACTTTCTAAACATAAACCAAAATGCCCCCTCCCCAACATCTAGTCCTATAACAATGGCATCCCATCTTCATGGAGGTTAGGTTGTAAACTGAATACAGATAGTAGTAAAGATCACATTTAGTCAAACTTACCCTTCAACAGCCTATGGGAAAGTACCTCACTAAAGAGAGATACACAATCCCAGAATCAGGAAAGATGGCTATTTCTTCAGCTGAGCTTGTGTTTAAGCACCATGTTATATTTTAAAAATGCATATTTTTAAACAGAATTATACTAGTGCAGTGAGAGGCATTACTACTCCCTAAGTTTCTGCCCAAGCCATCCTTGCCTTCCTCTCACTTACCTTCCCCCACACATCCCCAAGCCCTGTTAATTCCACCTCCTAAATCTCTCAAATCTAAACACTTTTCTCCATCATCACAGTTACTGTTCTGATCAGTGCAGCAGTATTTAACTGGAATACAGTACTCATGGGGGTACCTGAAGATTTTCTAAGCAGTATGAATGACAGATGGTTTTATAGAGACTCTCTTTCTGGATTCTTAATTTCTATAAATACTGCTTCCTAAAACTGATCTGCTTGACATGAGACCTTCAGTCAGGCATCAGTTATGAAAGTTGTCATTTTCTTTTTGTCATTCTCCTGTAAGTACAGTGGTGAATTGTTCTGAAGTATAAAACTCTTCTGGGTTCCAAAGGGACAATTCAAAATACTGGTGTTATTTAGAAAGCAAATTACTTACTCTGCTTACCGAGTAACCTAATTCTTTTGCAAGTCAGGTGCTCTCATTTCTTTGCTTTTACCAAAATTTAAGAAAGACTATAATAGAGTTATCAGCTGATATATTATAAAACATGATTTTTAAAAATAGAACATTATTCAATTTTTTAGCAAATAACTCTGAAGATGTTAAAATAATTGAATGACAGTGCCACATGAAAATTTCTTCCATTTTCATCCACTTATTTAAGTGAGGAGCCCTGGTGGCACAGTGGTTAAGAGCTCGGCTGCTAACCAAAAAGGTCAGCAATTCAAATCCACCAGCTGCTCCTTGGAAACCCTAGGGGCCAGTTCTACTCTGTCCTATCGGGTCATTATGAGTTGAAATTGACTTGAGGGCAACAGGCTATTTACGTGAACAAGGTTTTCAGTACCACTGCCTTAGCTGAAACAAGCTAGAAAGGTACCCAAGTTTAGAAAGGTATCCAACCTGATCTTCCCAATTTCTGTTCTTCCTTTCTAATGCACTCTATGTTGTTATCAGGTTATCTTCTTTTAAAAATCAAGTTAAAAATACAAGTACATGAAATCTTATCATTAGGCTGTTTAAAAATCTTCCACAGTTTCCCTCTACATACCACTATAAAACGAAAACAAAAGAAAACAAAATCCAAATGTCTTAGCATCGTATTCAAGGCCTTCCACCACCTGATTAAAACTAACTTCCCTTCCTGCACTCACAAGCCACCACTCTCTCCCTACAACCCACCACTCTCTCCCTACAACCCACTCATGCGCTCTTACACATAAGACTACTCACCATGCCCCAAACCGTCATGCCCTTTTGCTCTGCCCAGAAGGCCCTTCCTCTCTTCTCTGCCTGGCAAACTACAACTCATCATTCAAGGCACAGCATAAATGTCATATCTTCTGAGAAGTTTTCTAGGAATCCCCAGATAGAACGACGGCACTATTCATTGTTTGACAATCATTAATGCAGCATCCATGTTGATTTTTAGACACAAAGAGGAACAAGGTAAGGGACTGCCACAGTCTAGTGAGGACAAAAATGTTATTCAATAAATTACCATACATTGTTTATACTTCTAGCCAGGAATTATATCATTGAGCCAGAAAAATCCAAGAACAGACAGTTTGATAGAAGGAGGGGATATAAACTGGCTACTGACAAATATGTAGGAGTTTGTCAAGAAGAATTTAATGCTAGCAAATGGTATAGTCGAGACTCAGTCCCACGTCTGCCAGATTCCAGAGGTCAAGCTTAGGACAGTAGTTAAGAGTGTAGGCTCTCGAGTTATACCACCTAGTTCAAATCTCAGCTCTACTACTTATTAGTTTACAGAAAATACTAAACTTTTCTAAGCTTCTTTTAACTCGACAGTGAATTGGGAATTATAATACTGCTAATACCTCAGAGCACTGTTGTATTAAGTGAGGCAATCCACGTAAAAATACATAGATCAAGGACTTGTACATGGTAAAAATTACATATATATATATATACACACATACACACATATATATACAGATATACATGTATATATACACACACATATATAAGCTGCTTTTATTAGCATTAATAACTATTATGATATACTGCCTTTTCTGTAGCAGTGTGACATTTTCTGTTATATTCTATGACACTGTACATTATTTTTTGAACCCTAATTTCCTATTCTGCAAAATAGGGAGACTAACTGCTTTAATAGGCAATAAGCATTCATTATGCCAGGTACATAATAAATGCATGAAAATATTTGTTCTCCGAAGTTAAACAAAGATACATACACACACACTGTATCCTCACCTGGCTAGAATGAGCAATAATCAAGGGTTAAGATGAACCTTCTATGGCAATGGTTCTCAACCTTGCCTGCACATTGGAATTATCTAAGGAGCTTCATGAAACTGTAATGCCTGGGTCCCACTTCCAGAAATTCTGATTTAATAGGTTTGGAGGTGCAGATATATTAAACTTTAACTCCTAAGATGACTCAATATGCAGACAGAGTTACAAACCAGGTCTTAAGGTCTGAAATAGCAAAATGAGTCATTAGGCAGTAGCTTTAACATTTATATACACTAAAAACAAAAAAGCAATCATAACCTGGAAATAGTTTTTTATATATAAATATATATGTGTGTGTGTGTGTATATATATATATGTGTATGTGTGTGTGTCTATATATATATATATATATATATTTTGCCAGAAAGTATAATGAAGAGCTTATTTGGTTTTCATGCTTTGAAAGTCTTAAACTTAACAGAAATAAACCAAAATTTGAAAAACATCTTAGGAAACCCACCCGGTAACCAATAATAAGTGCAGGGACTGGCTGATAAAAGCCCAAAACACAAACAAACACTAAGGCTCAGAGACGCTTCCTGAAGAAGAGAATCTTGGGGAGGGTCATGCCCCCACTTCAGTGACCTTTCCAAACCTCACTTGAGTACCTCTTCCTGTTGCTCCTGCATTACTCCTGATTTGTATCCTATTACTCTTCCCTGTTTGTGTCCTGTAACTTCTGAGTTGTATCCTTTACCCTAATAAACCATATAACCGTTAAGTATAGTTTATGAGTTCTGTGTGATGTTGCAGCCAATTACTGAACTCAGCAAAGAGAGAGTGCCATGGGAAAGGGAATGATTGGTGTCAAGAGACAATGGAGAAGTCAGAAAGCGGAGATATACTTGACTTCTCCCCCTCCTAGGAACCAGCTTTGTACTGATTCTTACTCATGAAATGATTCGTTTAGTTGGGTCGTACTTTTTTATCCAAATATGACAATCTCTGCCTTTTAATTAGGTTGCTTAAATCACTTACATTTAATACAATTATTGATACGGTGGGTTTTAACCTACCATCTTGTTATTTGAATTCTATTTGTCTCTTTTTTTTTGGGGGGGGAGGCTTTTCCTGGCTTCTTTTGGACTATTCGTTATTATTCCATTTTCTATTACTTATATATTAGCCATATCTCTTCATTTTGTTTTTGTTGCTTTATCTAGGGTTTACTATATATCTTTAATTTGTTTCAGTCTACCTTCAAATACTACTTCACATACAGTGTATTAACAGTGTACTTGAGTTTCCCTTCTTATGTGCACTAATGAAGTCACTTCTGTGTTTGCTCTAAACAATAAACTGCTAATTTTAGTATTATTTACTTTATGTTAAAGTTACTTATCTTTAAAAGAGATTATGGTATCAGAAAAATGTCTGTATATTTACCTACATATTTACCATTTACTTCACTCTTTATTCCTTTCTATAGACCTGAGATTTTATCTGGTATCATTTTTCTTCCCCCTGAAAAGTTTCTTTCAGTATTTCTTAGCTTATCTCTGCTAGTGATGAATTTTCAGTGCCCCCCTCCCTTTTTTTTTGTCTGTAAAAGTCTTTAATTTTGGAAAAATATTTTTGCTTAGTAAACTTCAGGTTGATAATTATGTTCTTTCGTTACTTTAAAGATGTTGTTCGATGTCTTCTGGTTTGCATAGTAATAAGAACTGTGCTTTTTTTTAAATTTTATTGTGCTTTATGTGAAAGTTTACAGCACAAATTAGTTCCTCATTCAAAAATTTATACACAGATTGTTTTGTGGCATTGGTTGCCAATCTTTGCAATGTGAAAGCACTCTCTCCCTTTTCCACCCCAGGTTCCCTGTGTCCATTCGTCCTATTTTCCTGTCCCTTCTTGCCTTGCTTTTGGGCAGGAGTTGCCCATTTGGTCTCATATATTTGATTGAACTAAGTACGTTCCTCACACGTTTTACTGTTTGTTTTACAGGACTGTCTAATCTTTGGCTGAAAATGGGCTTCAGGAGTGGCTTCAGTTCTGAGTTAGCAGAGCGCCCGGGGGCCATACCACAGTCTCAGAGGTTCTTCCAGTCTCTGTCAAGTCTGGTCTTTTTTTGTGTGAATTTGAATTTTGTTCTACATTTTTTCCCCTGCTCTGTTTGGGACTCTCTATTGTGATCTCTTGTCAGAGTGGTCAGTGGTGGTAGCTGGGTACCATCTAGTTCTGCCAGGCTAAGGCTGGTAGAGGCTGCAGTTCATGTGGTCCTTTAGTCCTCTGGACTAATATTTTCCTTGTGTCTTTGGTTTTCTTCATTCTCCTTTGCTCTGGACTGGATGGGACCAAGACATGTATCTTAGATGGCTGCTCGCAAGCCTTTAAGACCCCAGGCGCCACTCACCAAACTAGGATGTAGAATATTTTCTTTATGAACTATGTTATGCCCATTGACCTAGATGTCTCCTGAGACAATGGTCCCCAGCCCTTAGCCCCAGCAACTCCATCCCTCAAGGTGTTTGGATGTGTCTAGAAAAATTCAATGACTTTGCCTTGGTCATGCTGTACTGACTTCCCCTATATTGTGTGTTGCCTTTCCCTTCACCAGAGTTGACACTTGTCTACTGTCTCGTTAGTGATTTTCCCTCACCGTCCACCCCCCCGCCCATAACCACTAAAGATTGTTTCCTTCTGTGTGTAAACCTTTTCTTCAGTTTTTGTAACAGTGGTCTCATAACAACATTTGTCTTTTTTACTTCACTCAGCATAATGCCTTCCAGATTCATCCATGCTGTGAGATGTTTCGCAGATTCATCATTGTTCTTTATCACTGCATGGTATTCCATTGTGTGTATGTACCATAGTTTGTTTGTCCATTCACCTATTGATGGGCACTTAGGTTGTTTCTGTCTTTTTGCTATTGTGAATAGCGCTGCAATGCACATGTGTGTGCATATGTCTATTCATGTGACAGCTATTATTTCTCTAGGATATATTCCCAGGAGTGGGACTGCTGGAGCATATGGTATTTCTATTTCTAGATTTTTTAAAAAATTATTATTGTGCTTTAAGTGAAAGTTTACAGTTCAAGTTAGTTTCTCATACAAAAATTTATATGCACGTTATGTGATCCTATTTGCGCCCCCTATAATGCGACTATTTCTAGCTTTTTAAGGAGGTGCTGTATCGTTTTCCAGAGTGTTGTTCCATTTTACATTCCTACCAGCAGTGCGTAAGAGTTCCAATCTCCCAACAACCTCTCTGACATTTATTTTCTGTTTTTTTGATTCATGCCAGTATTGTGGGAATGAGATGGTATCTCATTGTAGTTTTGATCTGCATTTGTGCGATCATTCTTATCTTTGTTCCTCTGTATATAACGTGTTTTTTTTTCCTTTGACTGCCTTTAAGGTTTTCTGTTTATCACTGGTGTTTAGCAATTTCATTATGATGTACCTTGGGATGGTTTTGTTTCTTTTTTGGGGAGTTCACTGAACTACTTGGTTCTGAGCTTTTATGACAGGCAGCTTCTAAAATGGTTCCCAATGATCCCTGCCCTATGGTACTCATGCCCGTATATAATCCCTACCCCTAGAATGTGGGCTGAACCCAGTACCTTGTTTTAAAGAACAGAATATGGCAAAACTGATGGGATGTCATTTCCAAGATTAGGTGGCAAAACCCTGTCACTTGTCTTGCTTGCAATTTCTCTCTGGCTCTTCTTGCTTGCTTGCTCTGATGAAGCAAGTTGCCATGATTATGAGCTGCACTATGGAGAGGCACACGTGGGAAGCCAGCCTCCAGACAACAGCCAATGAAGAAACTGAGGTCCTCAGTCTAACATCCTGTGAGGAACTGAATCCTGCCAACAACTATGTGGGTGAGCGCAGATGCAAATCGTCCTCCAGTTGAGCCTTGGGATAGATGACTGCAGCCCCAGCTGACACTTCGACTGTAGCCATGTGACAGTCTCTGAGTCAGAGGACTCAGATAAGCCACGTACAGAAACTGTGAGGCAGTAATTGTTTGTTGTTTTAAGCTACTAAATTTTGGAATAATTTGTTATGTAGCAATACGTACCTAATACGGTTTTCATCAAATCTGGAAACATTCTGGCCATTATTGTTCAAGTATATTTTTCTTTCCTTTCACCTCTCCTGGGGACTCCAGTTACACATCTAAGACTGGCTGATATTGTCCTACAGGCCCACTGGTGCTTTTGATGTTGTTGTTTGGCTTTTTTCTCTGTGGCTCATGTTACATAGTTTCTATTACTATTTCCTCAAGTTTTTTTTTATCTTTTCTTCTGCAGTGTCACTTCAGATACTATATTTTTCATCTGTAGACATTCCATGTGGGTTTCTTTTAAATACATTTCACGTCTCTCTTGTGCTAGTGTTTTCCTTTCCCTTCTTAAGCATATGTGGCATATTTATATGCATATTTACATGTGGCAGATTCCTATGCAGACGTCTGTTCCCACCCCTCCAGATATCTCTTGGAAACCTACCCTTTTCTAGGTAAGATCGTGGGGCCCATGGAGGGTCCTCTTCAGCATAAGGATCACTATACTCAACCACGGCTGCTTCCTCTTCTTCATAATCTTCTGGAGGAGGAGGTGGAGGAGGGGATTCATCAAAGACTGGTTCTTCCACAGGTGGTGGTGGAGGTGGTGTATCTGAAACTAAGAACGTATGAAGCTGACAACAAAACTACACATTATATAAAGTTCAGTATTTCCTATATAAGCTTCGATATTCATGGAATATAAACCTTGACTTGAAAATAATCATCTTATAAAAAATAAGTGGGCAAGAGAAGTCGTCCCACCAGCTATAATGTTCCAATTCTCCAAGCGTGACTTTCTTCTCTCTTGGGTTACTACTGATACTGAATAAAGTTTAGCCAAAGTAATTATTATTAACTGAGCCTCTCAAATCTGCTTGTGTTAATACATAATCCTCTTTTTCAAAGAATGAGATCAGTACAATATAGTTTGGCTTCATACTATACCCACGGAGGAGTGGTCATAAAATTTTAGTAATTTAGACATTTATAACCATATTTGATTTATCAAAAACTAGAATATGAGTCCAGTGAACAGTCAAATTGTAATAATCTGCTACTTTCCTCCCAATAAATTATTTTAAAAGCATTTTATAAAAATGAGGGGGGTTACTAACTACTTTAGGTGATTTTATCTATGAAAAAGTTTGTTTTTTACAAAATTTCAATTAATTCAGACTAAATTATGATCCAGAATCTCTTCAGGATAAATGTCCAGGTATCAGCATATAGTAATGTCTAGAAGATTATCTCCAAACTCAGAGAACTCAAATCCTATAAAATGCTTGGTACATACTTGAGCACAGCTCAACAAAATAAATTGAATAAACCTGTATTTATCAACTGCCCAGTTTTTCTGAACACCAGTAATTCTTATTTATGAGGTACCAGTATTGTTTCAGTGCAATTCTCTGGGAAATCCTATTTATTTTCTATTTCTTAAGTCTGAAGCTACTGACTGAAGTAAATGAATTTAAGAATTTGAGAAGACTGCTGATATGTGATGAGAATTATTCATATCAACATCATACTGTTATTCCAGTATTCTTCCCATCTGCTGTACTACTCTGCACTTACTAGCTTCTCTACTTTATGAACTTCAATACTTCATCCATTGAAAAATATACTTTAGTCATAATGGTTTTAATAAACAGAAGATATAGACATGATTTTTGTATATACTTTATGGAAAATTACATATGGTTGATGTGAGAAAAAAATATATCCTATTTGTATCTATAAGGTAAAGAGATCGACTTCAACATGACAAAAACATAGATCCAAAGGAACTTTGTCTTTCAAAACAATCACCTTGAGAAATTACACTACGAAATTATTCAAAGATGCTGCCACTGCTCATTTTTACCTTCTCTTATCACTACCTCAGAGCCAGTTTAATAATACCATCAACATAAGTGACCGTTTTTTGAGGACTTAGAATGCTCCAAGTACTGAGCTAGCACTTTATAATACATTACTTCATTTAATCTTTACAATCTTGGGAGATGGTGTTTTTAATATACTCATTTTATGGATGTGCAAACTGGCTTTCTAAGATTAAGTAATTTATCCAAGGTCCTACAACAAGTAACTGGGAGAGCAGGAATTTGAACTCCAATGTCTGTGATCTTAAAAGTTACACTATGGCATAAGATAAATCTAATAACTTTAAAGTCATATTTCATTATTATTCATTCAACAAACATCAACTAAGAGCCTACAATGGCTACGTATTATGATCAGCAGTGGGCAAGTCATGGAAACATGGACAGGCAAACACTCATTAAGTGTAGTAAGTGCCTTAGGGTATTATGGGAGCACATATTAGGGGACCAAACCTCTTACGTGATTCAGGGAAGGCTTCCTGAGACCTAAAAAATAAGTAAGAGTTAACAACTAGCAGGTGAAAGAGGGGTGGATATTTCATGTTCCATGTAAACAAAAAAAACAATGCAAAGGTAAAATTATAGGAACTCTTTAAAGAACTGACCAATGTTCAGTGTGGCTGGAGTGAAGAGTTGGAGGTAGAAAGAAGCATGAGGAGGCTGGAGAGAACAGGTAGGAAGGGCCTTGTAGCATTTTAGACTCTATCTAAAGAGCAATGGGGAGCCACAGAAGGATTTTAAGGAGAATAACAGGATCATAGTGGCACTACTTAACCCAGTATAACTGGTTCACTACATTGCTGTTGTTGGGTGCTGTCGAGTCAATTCCGACTCAGAGCAAACTGGTTCCATAATTCCAGACTTCTTCCTAAAATCAAACTTAATGCACAGTAAATATTTGTTACCACAGAGTATCTTCAAAATAAGGCAGCTAAAAAACTCTGAAGATAATTCCAAAGATCAGTATATGTACCCTTCCAAGGTGAATGTTTTGAAGAGGACAACATTCATTTGAATGTATAAATTCTGCTATGTCTGTAAAATCAGTCACAGCACACTTCCTATACAAAGTTCCTTATTTTAAACATGTTGTAGGTAAGAAATGTATGTGACCATGAAAAGAGATGAGAAAGGACTATGTCAAAAGGCAATCATAGTAGGCTGGCAGAATTTGGGGTTGACTTTAAAAATGTAGGCAGTGCTGCCATAATATTTTACAATCAACTACTTAAGGCATTTCTAAATCCTGAATTTGTAATCATGCATTTCAATAATATTAAGTTAAACTGGTACTTTTTGGGGTCTGCTGATGAAACATTTTTGATGTTTCTACAAACTTTACAACTTCCACTAATGACTGGTTAAAAACTAATGACATCTTGCTTCATAATCCTGTTCAACTTTCAAATCTAGTTTTTTGCAAAATAATAAAAAATAATAACCTTTTAGCTACTACACAAACACTCCTGGTTTGTTTGATGGACTTGTCTTCAACGTTAGTTTTAAGATCTGGCCTTTACTCTGGAAGCTGCTTAGAACCAGTCAGTTTACAGTGAGTGACATCATGCAGCAACAACTGATGGCTGACGTTCTCCAAAGTGAATGCTCATCATGGTAGTAAAAGCAGAAAAAAATCCTGGTGTATTAGCCAAGTGACTACCTTCATTAATCACTGTGATTAAATTAGATTGTGATGGGAGAAAATGTCTTTTACTGTAATGATGCTTAGACACTTCACCTTACCACAACACTTTATATGGGCATGCAGAATAGAACAAGCTCTGGACATTCCTTCGATTTTGCTACTCTGATTAAATCCCTTTCTATTTGGTCCAGTTTAGATGCAGAAGAGTATTTTAAAAAGAGCAGGGAACAGTGACCTTCTATTCTACTTTTGACTTCACTAGGTTGGCAAAGGGTCAGACTGTGGCTGTGCTGGGCACATGTTGAACAGTTGAACCTTCCTGAGAGGACAACTTCTTTCTGAGCTGGCATGGGTCAACCCAAGCCAAAAGAACAGTGGGTCTCAATAGCATGATTTAAAAAGCGTATGAAATCTACCTGATTATATATGAAAATAGCTCTTAAATTTAACAAAACATCTTAAGAAATCACAGTGTGGTAAATATTGGAGGTGTTCATGGGGGACCTCCCAGTAAACAGAAGTAAAATAGATTGTTTCCAGAAATTAACAAATAGATATGTAAAGGCACCTGGAAGAGATACTAAGCCCTCAGACTAGTATGGCTGGATTACAATAACCAGCTAAAACAGGAACAAATGTAAAGAATGTGTTGCTCAAAGGGGCATTTAGTCAGCTATAAAAGCACAAAAGAGGAGGAATCAAAGGTGCCTGCTCTGTGTCCAACACTTTTCTAAGTGCTAAGGAAACAGCCACTGAACAAACAGGCAAAATTCCCTGCTCTCATAGAGCTTACATTCTAGTATTGGCAACGCCCATTTCCAAAACGTGCAGAAGCCTTAGGCAACAGATTGCAAATGTCTATGCCATTGGTGAGGCCATCTTTATGAGATACATACACTGAGCTACTTCAGTCTGATGACATTAAATCTTTAATTAATGTAATTCCCTTCATTCTGATTCCATGCCCATCGTGCAACCTTATGATTATGTGTCATGTAGACTGCTCACAAGAAGACAATTCCTATACCACACAATCTAAGCTCACTGGTCTCTATGACAGCAATTTCTCACTGAACATTAACACAGGCCTCCTGATTTGTAGACATCACTCTCCTGGACTTCTTCAATGCTTCCCTAGGAGAAGGCTCAACATGTCGATAAAATTAGTTATCTGATCCTGCATGGCTGAACATCAGAACCCTAAGCCAAGCTAAATTCATCACCAATCTATGAGGCTTCGTGGGAGACAGACTCGCAGCTTGGTCTTCTGGTACCTACCACGGAATGGCCATTTTGACCTAGGCATGGAATCAGAGGACTAAAGAAGATTCTGAGACCATTTACAACAGCTCTAAAATTCCAGTGATAGGAAACTAGACTACTACTTGTCCGAACAACCCTGAGAAAAAGATGGGCTATCTGATGATTAAACAACATCTCCCCAGCTGGATGTAATCTTTCCTTTCTTCCATATGCCTCATATTTGTCTTATCTTCAGTACTAGATTTTAAGCTATTTCAAAGTAGAAAACGTCATCTTAATTATTTTATCATTACCACTGGCCACTCATATGACTTGACCATAATATTCAAATATTTGAAGGATCAGTAAGTGAACGACTACTCAGCCAATCATATATAAATGACATTTTATCCCTATAATCTGATCTACAGCATAAAGAAGACATAAACTTACTATTTTCTTGGACTCTGGCCACAAATCCCATTAAAGGTAACTGAGGAGTTACCTGTAGGATGGAGGGAGGAGGAGGAGCAAGAGATACTGCAAAAACAAAAAAAGGCGTGGAGGATAAGGGGTAAGGGCGAGTTACATTAAAAGGAAAGGATAATACAATAAAATGAACATATAAGGAGGGAAACCACTATTCAGAACACTTTATAAGCTATCTTAAGAACCCTCCTTTGAGGGATAATTCATTAACACACAAAACAAAATATTAGGGGAGTTTTTAGGAAGTTTTAAACATTACACCAGGAGGCATTTATTATACACAGAAATTACTATTTATACTTTTCCTTATTTCATTAACAGGCAAATTAACTGAGTCTTTATTTAAACAAGTATTTA